ACAACCCTATTAAATCAGGTAACTTTAACCTTGATCACTGATCTATGAAATGAGGTTGAGATCTTTGTAGCAATCTATATCAATTTGAGTGCATATCTAAATTTACAAAACAATATTAATCTTGATCATTGTGATACTGTAAATTTAGAAATTATTGTGAGGTTTTTATTAATGCAAATAATGTGACAGGGTGAATATCACAATAATAAGAACTTGCATTCTGAAAACTGAAATATAGATCTTTATGCAGATTTTTATTGTAATTGCATTCCATTCGTCAAAAATCGCAATAATAAATGCACGCAATAATTTCTGAATTTACAGTAGGTAAAAATGTTGTCAGTTAAAAGTGAGACAACTTTTCCCAGACAATATATGATTCTTTTGTTTTTATGTTTGGTTGCTGTCTCATTGAACAAAACTATTTTATTTCTCCTTTTATCCAGAAAATATAACTTTTGAAATAGAAACTGAATAGCATATGGATGGAAAACCAATGTCAAGTGATGTAAAATAATTCAAGTTGCAATTTAGGTCAGGGGTTGGTGAGGTAAAAGATGAGGCAAAGGCATGTGCATTTACCACAACTGCCACTTGGTATTATGTTTTCCAAAATTTACAAATCTCATAGCTACCTTCTGTATTAAAGACAACTGCATATATTGCAGTTTGCATATCATGAATTGTGTTTGCAGCAAAATTCGCTACAGACAGCAAAAAAAAAAAAATTAATTCAGCTCTATTAAAATTAATTTTTTGAAACATTTTTTATTTTTATTCCTCAAATGTCTATGATATCAAATTTATAAAACATTTATTAGCATTGTTAATTTCAATATACTAGTAATTGTTGACATGCATACATCATGTACATGTACAATCATCAGCTGATCAGCTCGATATTTTCATTATTTTTATATCAATATTAATCTTCAGTGTTTTTTATAAGACTCAATAATCTGTATTCATCATTGGGACAGGTACATGTAGGTAAAGTAGGTCCTTTTGATCTTGGATTTGTTTTAATGGTTTTTGACAGCACTAAAGCATATAGTTCCAAATTATAGTTCCATCTTGGCTTCTTAAGTGGATTCTGACAACACATTGCATGTTGACACCAAGTGTAGATGATCTTGGGTTCTCTCATATGGATTCTGACAGGACTTTGATTATACATGTACATGTAGTTCCAAGTATTGTTGATCTTGGCTCATAATGTTGCCAACTTGGTTGTTCTTAAGTTTCAGCACTTTACATATAGTTCCCAATTGCAAGACAAGATGATACTGGCTTCTCCTGTAAATTCTGTCAGTACTTTGCCAATACTTTCCAAGTAAAGTTGAACATTCCAGGATCTTTCACAACAAATCACTCCTTCCTCTTACATGTACTTGCAGCCTGAAATTAAATGTCAGAGGAATTCTGTCAGAAAATCATCAACCATGATTGACATTTAAAAGCACAATCAAATTCATATTTTAAATATAAAATGGGGAATGTGTCCATTGGACACAGATGATGGCCCCGCTTGCATATACAGTTATATAAAGGAACATAACTAAAGAACGGTAAGAGTGACACTACCCAACTTTTTACTTGATCTGAGTTTTGTTGTAATAAGTAATGTGTAGAAGTTTCATAACATTTGGATGAGGCAAACTAAAGTTAGAGAATGGAAACGTAAAGGGGCATAGTTCTAGAACAGTAAAAGTGACCCCACCAAACAAAATTCAAATTTGATCTGTGTTTGTTGGTAATAAGCATTTTGTATAAGTTTCATAACATTTGGTTGTGGCAAACTGAAGTTAGAGAACGGAAACCAATTTTGGGACGTACATACAGACAGGGGTAAAACTTAATGCCCCCGCCGCTACGGCGTAATAAAATGAGGAATTTGTGGCAACAATAATGAGCAAACAAAATAAAATTACATGCACAGCAAGTGTAAATAGTGATTTTGTTTTTATATGTTGAATACAGACTTTTCAGGGCATGCTGTTTCGTTGCCAGGGACAAGTTACATGTATTTCTCTGCCTAAAAGTTCTGAAATGCAGCTGATCATGAGCTACATTTGTACTCCTCGTCAACTAAATTATGCTGAGGTGTCTTGTACCTTTGTTTTGAATATGGGATACACAAATTTTGTATTTAAAAATACTAAGCACAAAACAATAATGAATTTTTCAACTCAAATGTATGTGTTATTTGGTAAACAAGATAAGCCCTACGTGTACATGTATGTTTAAACCTGATACTTGATGTTATGAAATTTTTTATACCAAAGAGAGACGGGAGGGGGTTTAATTGTAAACAAATAGTGATCAAGACAAATCAATCAATAGAATGTTTACAAATTAGGCCATTCATATTCGAATGTAAAAGGGATGAACGTGAATTAGAGTGAACATGATTTTGGGTGAAAAGAAAAGAATTCGAAAAGAGGGGGGGGGGGTGGGGGGGGGGGGGGGGGGGGTAAATGATCTGGGGGAAATATATTTTGCCATTTTTTGTCCGGGAGCAAGGAGGATGGAAGTAGAAGTTAGGGGAGAAAATTTTAGAGTAAAAGGGAAGAGAAACAGAGGTTGGGGAGTGGGAATCATGTTGGAACTTGGACTACATGAACCCCTGTTCAAGGGAAGTTATGGGGTACACCATTTTACTAGTCATTATAGACGTTAACGATAAATATTTTACTCCATTTGACCTTAACGTGGCTACGAAATTCGATTTTACGAATGACGATATAAAATTAAGACTCATTTGACGCTAACGGTAGATGCTAAAAATGACCATCCCCTCCACTTTGACTGTTTCAGTGTTTGACACTGATATTTTTCAAAACAGGCTATACATGTTCAAAACTTGCCAGTTAACAGGTTAAGGGTCAAGTAAACACACAAATAAGATACCAGCCATAACGATTATACATAGAACAGAAATTTAGCCCATGCAAGGTTTCAGCCGCAGTGATTTTCTACAGTAGCGAGTATTTTGAGATAACCCCCCACTTTGTATTTTTCGTGATACTAATAACATTTGGCTGTCTAATATATTAAAATCTATGTTTTCTTATGTAATGACTCTACCTTCATCGTTGTCTATTCGCCACTACATTTTGTATGTCTGTTATTCATGCACATGGTCGTATTTATCTATGCAGTATGCTGCTCAGCAATGGCGACCCTGAAATTTCTGTTGTCCGATTATGGCGCCAAATTACAGGGAAGCAACTCGCGCCAGACAAAATTACCGTATTTCACCAAAATAATCAAAATTTTGCTTTTTTGTAACAAACAGTAAAATGTTAATCACATTTATATTCAGCTATCGTTCATTGATATAATTACAAAAATTATTTTATTTAAAGACATCAATAAAAATTCACAAGAAAGTAATTAATGGAGTGCATTGAAATCAGACCTCATGGGTAGAGGGGTTAAACAAAAGCTCGTAACTTTTTTAAAAGCCTAGTGACCCCAATTTTATTTTACCTTAAAATGCTTGAAAAGTTCATAGCTTTGACATATCCGTTTTTTAAAAAAATCTACCGGGGAAATTTTACGAAAAATCGATTTAACCAATATTTTTAGCCTTAAACTGAAATTAGAAAATGCCAAATTTAGACATAAATCTGAAAATAAATTGATTTTAAAGTCTAAAACAACCAAGGGGAACGTTTACATTTCAAATTTAATTGTTTTTTCACATAATAATCATACTGACATGGTTCTAAAAGTGTTTGCATTTGATGTAGTCGTTATTGTTGTAAGGGTGGAAAAGTTTGGAAATAGGGTCAAAATCGCACATTTCGCTTCCATTTGAGGGGAAAACAAGCCTGGTGACCCCCTTTTTTCTTTGCATTTTTGGATTCAGCATAAAAAAATCTACAAAATATGTGAAAATAAAAAAATTCTACCGGGGGTCCTTATTGGGGTGAGCCACCTTAAATCAAGACTGTTATCCCGTTTCTATGTATAATATTAGTATCTTTCTTTGCCTAATCACCAAATCTTTATTCAGACTTTTTCTGTGACTGTAGTTTAATTTTAAACCTACATTGTTTTGATGACAGAATGAAATTAACGTTTTCAATATTAATTTAATAGTGATACATTTACCTTAACAAACTTTGTTGGATTTATTTGCCAGTTATACCTCGTATTTGTTTCATAAAACAACGCGTTTGTGTTCCGTATAAAATAAAATTGTACCATCATGCATGTTATGGATCTCTATCTACCTTAACTTAAACTCATTTTTGACAAAAGTTTTAGTTCTTTAGGTTTCATTGTGACTTTGAGTCATATATCAATACATTGATCCCTTTATTTGAATTATCAGATAATAACTAAAGTAAGCACAGTCTTAATAACGGTTGCGAGTAGTTACCAGAACAGGTCCTGATAGTACGAAATCAGTTTCATTTTTCAACTGAATGTACTTTTTGGTCATATATCGAATCTTTTGGAAGATATGTTAGTAGACATTTAATGCGGATAAGTAGATCATACTTAACGAATAGTTATAATATTAACAACAACAATAATAATTTTAATATTTTCATATTTTATTTCAAAATTCTTTCATTGAGTTTACCTTCTATTCACTTAATGATGCCTGTTCACGATAATATCCATTCAACATGTGTAATTTTTTACAACATGTAGCTTGAAAACTAGCTCGGTAACCTATCATTTTTATTTTATTTTTGAACGAACATATCACAATATATACTATGTTTTGGAAAAGTATGAAAACAATTTTTTTTGTTGTTTAAACTCCAATACAGCCTTAATGCTCTTTATCATTATTATTTGCTTTAAAGATTAATTGCACTAAATTGAAAAGTCTTAGCTTTCTCTAAATGGTTTCGTCTTCAAAATTGTTTCGATTTGAGCGCCACTGATGAGTTTGTGTAAAAAAATATCCGTTTTGACGTATTATAGTATGACCATTGTAACTTCAAGAGTTGTGTGGCTGTGCAATTAACAGTACTTACGTTGTTGTTTGTCAATTTCATGCATTCGTAACTATGTTAATAAAGTTGATGAAGATAATATTAGGTATGTTAAATAAATACTGATAACAAGTTAAATTTATGTAAAGGTAGCCTTTTTCATTAACAATCACGAATAACAGGGCAAAGGCTTCTACACAAGGTATAGGTGGCCTGTTGTTAGGCAACATTTATGTCCCTATCATATATATCCTCACTTTCCAGTGGCAGTCTAAATTTCCCCGACCTTCATCCTGGACGGCCTATATTACAGGACCTACCTATGGTATTCATTGTTTATTTGTTCGCCTTCTGAACATGCAAGAAATATTTGCCACTGGACGTGAAGCAACCAACAATTAATCAATCTACGTATGGTATACATTTTGTTCAAGTCTTGCAATATATAATCCCACATTTTCCACTGTGATAAATTCAGTACTGTTCAGGCAATTTGCTTGCAATTTTAATTAAGAACTGTTCAGTAGCTTGTCAAACATGGTATGATGATGATGTGTACAGGTAAATAAACAACACTGAACAGTCTGAATATAGACTGAACTCATCTTGACTAACTGCAAGCGAATTGTCTGAACAGTACTGAATTTACCGGTAGTAATTCTAAAAATTGAATGAAAGACTACAAATGGCAACAATTTACTTCGCAGTCTTTTCCACGATTTTACATCGCCGAGTGAGGAGCAATTGAGAGTACCCCCTTTTTTGTGGAGTTCCCGTTGGTTTGTTATGTCATTGCCTTTATATATGGTGATTTGTGTGTCAATTCGTTCTCTTTCGTTTATTGCCATGGCGTTGTTTCTCCATTCTTTCTTTATTCTGTTTTTGTCGAATTAATACGGTATAGAATTTGTAGTTCTGCAGTTAGATAAATACAAAACACAGGATATAAATACATTTTTAACAATTGGTTTAGTCAATCTCACGCTTGTCTCACCTTCTGGTATGCTTAAAATATGACAATATAGGAATTGCCGATAATTCACAATATACCTATATAGCATTTAACTTGACAACAATATGACTTTCAAATACGAGTAATACTATCCGGTTACAATACTAATGACACTAATAAAATAACCACCAAGCTCAATACTGTTTGTAATTAACTGATCATCCAAATAGCATGAATAGTACTCGACCCTAATAAAATGACTTGAAAATCTTCGAATTGTCTCTTAAGAAAATTAACAGTACTTACGTGTTTTTGACTCCTTATGACATGTATGACGCCACTGTAAATAATCTTGAAACAAAAATATATAGAAAGTCAGCATGTTGAAAAATGCTAAAAACAAGTTAGTTCACATTTTCATTAGGTTTGTATGCCAACATTGGAAAAACTACGAAAGCATATATCCATGAAATTGAAAATTTCTCCTATCCACGAACCTAAATAATTATCCAAAGTATTTGAAAGAATATTACGTATTCCTAAAAGAAATGAAAGTAATCGGTATTATGCAATACTTTCGCATTGTCACATCTATATTAATACGTAATATGCAAAAACATTTTGAAAATATGCACATATCGAAGCGCCACTTTTACTCACAAACAAATAATGTTCATTCAACCAGTTTATTGCAGCTCTGTACGTATATAGTTTTGTTAACTCGTATTTAAATGAAATGAAGGTAATAATTCAATTCAAACTTGAAAAGTCAAATACGTCTTCACCGTTGATCTTCACAAAAGAATAACAAGCATAAATAAGTTCACCTTTAAATGTAGAGAACCGACATTTCAATTTAATTATTTTCATCAGTATATATAGCGAGTATGAAATTTATAAACAAAGCATTCCGTTCCCAATAGAATAATCCACATTGTAAAAGACAAGTTGACTAAATGTGAATTCTGGCATTGAGTTACTATTTGAAAAATACAGGAACTACCTAAATCTACAAGTTGAATACAAGTAAAATCATTTTTCTGTATACAAATCGCATGTTAACAAATGACTGAAACCCAACGATTGTGTACCAAGAAAAAGAAATAAACAGCTGCTTCATATTGAAATTGCTGGAAAAATAAAATTGGAATTAAAAAGGCATTTAAATCAGATGTAATTGAAATTGCTCCATAGAAACAAAAGCTTGCCAGATGATACCTTCGATACTCTGATACAGAAAAACCGAAAATATGGAAATACTGGAGTTAGTGAACAATATGTGAACAATTGCCGAGATTTAAGCGGCTTTTTTCTCGCATCCCTATAACGAAAAACAATAAAATAAACGGAGCTTCCTTTTATCAATCGTACAAGTAACAATAATGTAAAGTTTAGGTGAAATCAATCCAGATTATCAAATTCTTACGAGACACATTTTGTTTGGGACCTCGGTGACCGAATGGTCTAAGTAGTCCAATTACTATATCATTAGCCTGCCAACACTGATGATGTGAGTTCGAATCTAGTTCGTAGCAGGTGCGCTCGACTCCAATCTTAACTGACTAGGATTGTCAGTTATCCTGTCGTAGGTCGGCGATTCTCTCCAGGCACTCAGTCGTCCTGCACCAATAAAAACTGACTTCCACGAAATAATACAAATGTGCTGAAAGCGGCGTTTAACGCCAATAAACCAATCGTTCCCCTTCTCTTAGAACGCATTTACACTCCAAAATCGGGTTGGTGGAGGTTGTGAGTTGACGATGTATGGAAACGGATAAATGCACTAATGGAACAACCTTATTTAGCAAATCCGATCGAAAGAGTAGTTAGATCAACGTCGATTCGTACCAATTTTTATCTTATCGTACATGTTTTGTAATTAAACCCTTTGTAGAAAAAGTGAATAATCAAGTTAACATCACGGTAATCCAACCCCTGTTCGTTCGTTGTAGAAAGAATGAATATTCCTGTTTGAAGTAATTTAATCATTTAAATAAAGAGATCATCTACTGCGTGAACTGTTAAATGAAGACAAACAAACAAATACACAGAACGGGATAGTATGACCATAACGACGTGAGAAGTAAGAATTGAACACATGCCGTTTTTAGTCTGAAAAATTCTCCGATTTTAGCAACTAAAGAAATTGTGTTAAAAATTAAATATATATGTGATAGATTTTACACAACACTCAGCAGAATGTAGACGAATGGCTTATAGTATAATACATATGATCTACATCTACAACAAAATGATAATATGTTTTGCTTGTAAAAATTCAAGCATTGCTGATCTGGAAAAGGAGCTAAACACACACGGTCGTACCTATATAGTCTTGACAACATATTATATGCTAATGATAATATAAACTTACCGTATGCATGGTATAGAGAAACACAAATTATCATGACACCTAGTAATATTGTGGTAACATATATACACCGAAGCCGATGTGTTTTACCTGAAAAAAAGACTGATTTGTAAATAGATGATCATGTTATATAAAAAGATATGATTGTCACCTTAAATTAGGACGAGTTTAAGTTTACAATTTTCGGACTTATTTCTGTATCACTCAATACATTAGAGATAAAATGTTATTTTAACCTGTGGTTCACTAGTCTTGTACATGTTAGTATGAATTTCTACTCGACTCGTATTATGCTACCAGTACTAGTCCAAAATGTATTTAATACGTAGTGTCCCTAGTGCAAACTGCTTATAATCATCTAGCAGTGAAACTGTCCAAGTACAGTCTTGAATGTTTGCGTCGAATATATTGACACTTTAATCGTTTACAACGTAGTTGAAAATCATACTGTATCAAGTAAATTCGAGACGATTGAGCGGTACCCATCGTGTTGCTAACGGTAAGTCAAAATACATTTTTAATATCGTAATCGATAAATAGACAACTCTAAGTTACGACAAGTGGAATATATTAATAAGCATATGTGACACATTTATTCCATAATGGTAATTCAAATCATAATAACGTAGGTTAATGCTTGGAAGATGCGTCTTGTAATTCACCGTTTTTAACCATTGGTTAAAATTTGTTCTTGCGTTAGCTACTGTTGATCACGGAAGGGAATCGTGTCCCCTGGAAATACATATATCAACTGTAGATATATGTACGCCATATCCAGCTGCCAATGAAATGTTATTCATAGAAATGTTAAGGTCACAATGGGAAAATGGAAATCGCCTCTTGTGGTGTACCATTTAATTTTCCTTATTGTCAATTCTAACTGTAAGTCAATATACTGAGCTGACTGAACTGTATCATCGTTATCCTTTTCTCACACTAAACGAGATAAATGTGACCAATATAGTCGTGAATCCTTATATCATCAAGTGCGCTGTTTAAAAAATGATCTGAAAATATGAGACTATGCAAACAATCAAATTAACTTTCACACCAAGACTAATATAAGACAAAAAATATTTACAATTAAGTATCTTTTTTGTTAAAGAGTAAAGTATACAAAATCTAAACTTTTTAAGAGTACAACTGGACAACGATTGATGACATACACAAATTTACTCAGGGGTTAGTTGAAGAATATTCTCTAAAAAAATGTTAATTTTCGTGATTTGGTTTCAAACTATGCATGCATGAAACGGTTTTCTATTAGGCAGATTCCAATCAATAGCTTTAGAAGTTGTTCTTTTTAAATACTTACTATTGAATGCATTACCTGATGAACGGCAATTATATTCAAAATAGAAGGTAAATTTAATTCTTTCGATTGAAATAAGGTGTGTGTAATTGTTAATATCTATATACAATAATGAATTGCAAAATAGACAAAAATGCCAAATGTATATCTAATCATGTTCATGCAGATAGTATGACGATGGTTTTTTATTCAATATTCGACACATTAAGGTCAACAGTTTCTTCTGACAATTGAACACCGGTATGCTACTGGTGCCTTTATTAGGTTATAGAATATAAATGCCATTCCTTAAACACTGTAGTAGAAGGACAAAAACACCCAGCAAAAATGAAGGTCAAATATATGCATACATAGAAAGATTTATTGAGTTGTATGAACAGTTTAGGTATGGAAATAACAAGACTTACATTCAATTAGAGTACGATTTCTGAAAATATACAATATCAAGTTTACTTGAAAATACAACTCACCATTACTACCATCTACGAAAATGAAGTGTGTGTGGTTAGAACTGTCTTCCTTTAACGTTGTTAACATGTTGTCTGCAGCTGATCTATTTCAGATAAAAAAATATGAGAAAATAGAGAATTTTAAAAAGCAACTTTAAAGAATATGCATGAATCTAAGTATATAAACAAACTTAGTATGACAATTGCATTTCCCTCGTATATCGTTAGATTTAGTTATCAGCCAACAGACAAGTCGGTTTCAAGCTGTAGTCAAATGCATGACTCGTTGTCATTTTGCTTTGTTATTTCTATTACCTATTCTAACCTAGGACTTGTACTTCTCTTAAACTGTTTGTATTGTGCGTATTTCAGTGTGTTTGTTTATTGCACAATGGCTATAAGTATAAAGGGGAGGATTGAGATCTCACAAAACATGTTTAACCCCGCCGAATGTGTGCGCCTTTCCCCCTTCAGAAATATCTTGCCTTTGTTAGTCTTGAGTGTGTGTTTTTTTTAAATTTTGGTTCATTTGCTTGTATCGAAATTTAGTGTTGCGTCCTTTTCGCTGAACAAGTGTACATTATTGTTAAGAAGCAAGCTGTAGTCCGCCTCCGATTGCAGGATTTCATCACTGCGTTGAAGACCCACTGGTGGCCTTGGGAAGAGGATACACAATATTTTATTACTGTCGAAATACCTCATAACCATAGAATTACGCTTTCGATAAGACATCACTACTGCAATGACCTTACTATTACCTAAGAGTACTCTAGAAATAATGTCTATACGGAAACAATTCAGAACACTTATTGTAGGGAGGAAGACAATATGTATACTACACGTATACTACACAGGAAACAAATATCATATACATGTACACATGTAGTTGATAATGTTGCACGTTAATCGATACCACAGACCATAAAAATCAATTCGTTTGTGTTTAATTGCCATCAACATGAATTGATGTTCTTTTAATGGTTTGTTTTACTGAAAGGTAGTGAAAACTTGCTTCAAGTTAAGATAGTTTAGTAAAACAGCGATACAGTTGAAAAAGTTCAATAGTTTGATATTTAAAAAATAATAAAGGGAAAACAACTTGAAAGACAAGAGAACACTTACCGTTTGGTTTTAATTACATCATTGTCCAACGGGCATTGTTCTTCTGTAATTTTAAAGAACAGATCATTTGTTGTTATATATATTTTCATCCTTAGAAAATTTAAATGCTTAAAAAAAATGGTTACGAATAATAATAATTAATTTTAAAATGTTGAATTAGATAAAGAAATATTAATGGAAGGTAATGTACATGATCGATGATATATCATGAACACAATGTACGTACATAGAGGCATCATGGCATATCGTAGACCTTTATACATAATCTGCTCATTGAATAGAAGTTTAGACCTGAGGTTTCTGATTCAATCTACGCTACACTGATAATGTTTTCGTTGAGGTTTACATCTAATAATACTATTATACCAAAACGATGCTAGTGACCTTCTGACAATACAGCTACGAGGATTCACTCCATGTTCAACGCCTTATTGTGACTTTGAAATAAATACCCTCAACTCAAATGATGTGTCTTTCCTTTTTTGTATTGACACATGCATCTTTAAGTCATTCTATTTTTAGATCAATACATGTCACGAAACAATTCAAACTAGAAAAGACAAGGCAGGTAAATGAATTTCAATTAAAAAACAACTAACTGTTGGGTAGTCCTCAATCAATGAAAAGACATCTAAAATCAATCTACAATCAAATTTAAAGTTTTCTTTACCACATGTTACGCTCTGAACGGATACGAACCAAGAAATAAGAATAAAATTTAAAAGAATATGTACTGACGGATTTGAAAACCTAACGCAACAACAGATTTTTCAATAATGCTATTCTTATCAAATATGTTTATTTTTGTATTTGATAAGAATAGCATTATTGAAAAATCTATTGTTGCGTTAGTTTTTTAAATCTGTTAGTTGTTGTTTTAAACATTAATGTCAATAATGTTTAAATCATGTGGTATGAATTGAAAACCTAGTTTTTGCCCTATTTATGGATGTTTCAACGACGAAAGCAAGGACTACTGGAAACCAATGTCTAAATGATTGACACGGAAGTGAACAGTTGTGGTGGAGAAAATTTGATTTCAGTGTTTTGTACCTTCTGACTTTGCCTTAAGTCGTAAATGTGCCTCTTATTAGGCTATAATTGGCATAAGATAACTAAATGTGAAACGGTCAAATGAGTTTAATCAAAATAATAACATTTAACAAAAAAAAACAGACAACAAATTGACACAAATAACCTGTGGACTAGCACATGACAGATATGGCGACTTTAAATATATGTATGTTTATATGCTTGGAAAAGTCTTGGTTATATGCACATAATAGGTCGTTTTAACACTGGAAATATGCTGTTGAAAATATAGCTGATGTTTTGTTTGGTTTTATAACGTTTATCAATAAATGTGATTTAAATCTGTAAAGAGTATTAGTTATCTAGTCCTACTCTTTATCCACAAGGGAATATAGTTTGCAGTCTTTATCAATTTAAAATAGTCAAAGTATATTCTCCAGTAGTATTACCGATTTAAGAGGAGACGCTTACCTGGTCCACGCACCCAGTTTCGCTCCTTTTTAAGTTCATGCGATACCCCAAGTTTTGATGTGTTACCATGATACCTCTTTTAAATCGATTTTCGAGATTTGAACATCAGTAAACTACTATCGCATAAATATACCTTTATCGTAGCAATGGAGTTTGTGACAGGAACAGTCTTCTTCTGAGGGAACGCAAAAGCAGGTATTTTTTGGCTTACTGACAAAGTGGTACCCACTTGACAAATCGCATCCACAGGTTATGTCACTTTTCAAACTTCCTTTGTGAAAAACGTATTGACCCTTTTCATTACAAAAGGACTTCTGAAACACATATTTACTGCTTCCATCAGTTGAGAAAGGAAAAGGCTGATATCGGTTGTAGTTGCAGAGTGCTTTGTTGAAAGACGGTTCAAATATAAGTTTGCTGCCTGAAATTAAACATATTTGACAATTTCAATACAAAAGCAAATCTACCTTTTATGATATTAACCAATTTCACATACTGTCGTTGAAAGGCTGTTTGTTACCCGTTTTCCAACGATCTTATACTTCTAAACAAGACACAATTTATGTAGATTTTTACAACAACTAACCAATGGCCATTGGTAGATATTACTGTTGGTGAACGTTTTGTCCCGTAAGGTACATGTATCCACAGCCGATACCAGTCGTTAGAAATATTGTGTTGGCATGTAATACCGTTGAAACGGTTGTTAATTTACTTTTCATTAATGTTAAATTATTTAAAACACTAGCTAAAAAGGTTATGTTTACCTTTGCTGATCTGACCTAACTTTAGGGATTTGTTGGTTTTGGATTCAATTCAATTTTGTATTTGATGTGGCGTACCAACTTAATTGAATCGAGTGACACGGATGCTTTGTACCAAATTATAAACCTGGTATCTTTGATCTCACGTATATGCATATATTTTTAGATTTCAAGCTTTGTTTTTCACATCATGTATTTTAAGTTGGGTATTTCGGCTGACATATAAAGAATGTATACATTTGATGAATCATATGCGCTTTTCAGAAATACCCCTTATCGGTTACTTTTAAAAGAAATAAAAATAAAACCTACGATGTATAAATACCTTACTACGTTTCTTGGGAGCTGTATGACAAAACGTGACATTGAAAGGATGAGTTACATCCTTATACGGTCAGCTTTGCCTAATGGAGTTTGAATCATTGTTTATTAATTCGTTTATATTCGTATTAATCAATGGAGAATGGAAGAACTGATTATCGCGAACTATAAACTTTTGACATTTTCACTAGGGAAAATTACGGAAACATAAATTGTCTCGAACATGTAAAACTTGGGTGTACTATAAATAGATGGGAAAATTAGAAAACGGCGAAAATGCATCATAAATGATTTTCATTATGTTATAAATCATGTCCTAAAGCACTGACTTCTGAACTGATGATAACTTCTGGGACTAACATAGTCCCTTCGAAAGTTTAGATGCTTTACCTGACACCAATGTACCATTTGGAACAGGATTAACACACACAGCTTACATTATCTGTCACGACCCTATCCCGTTTCCAATTAAGATAACCCTACGACAAACTGTAACCGCAGCAGCAAGGATTAAAGTCTTAGTTTACGAAAATGCAAAGAATATACCAAGGAAACAACTAAAAACCAAATGACGTGAAAAGAAAGGTAGAAAAGACGGAAAAAAACAATGCAGTCTACAAAAATCATTTGAAAAAAACTTAAATACTTCAGTATAAAACCAGAGATGCACAGTACCCACATGCTCCGGAAAGGTAAACATGTCTTGCATTTAAACATTACTATCGATTATCATAACCCGTCACGGGTAATAATCATCGATAGTATCAATGGAAAAACTAACCTCCAATCAAACCTTCCGCCCGCCCGAAATCATCATAATATCAGCCGGTTTCGCACTTAAAGCAATCCTTTCAAAATAAGAACGACACGTCTAGTGTTGTTTTGTTTTTAAGATTCATAAAAATGAATTGAATTTGGCAGTAATGGCTACTAGTTGAAGTGTATATAAAGATATTATTACCTATGCTGCTATAGTCCAATCCATCGCAGTTCTCGTGATTTATATTCCGTAAGGAATGAAATAAACAGACGTACTGTGTAGTACCGCAATTAAATTTTCTCCCTCTAAAACGCCACTCCCCTGCATCTGGACATCTTACTTTATATCCTAGCGTCACAGCGATAGCAATACAAATTACCTTTTAAAACATGAAAGGTTTATCACTAGACATGAAAAAACAATATGCCGCAAGCTCATGCAAGCATGGTTGTTTTCAATATTCTAAAAAACAAATACACGCAAACAGCCGGTTTGGGATCGCTGTTTACATATACATCAATAAAATATTAAGGTATCTAATAGACTAAAGATTGATCAAATGTAAAACAGTAAAAAAAATAATCAAAAATAGATATAAAGATATATGTGCGACGCTCACAGATTGTAGTACTTTTTTTTTTAATTCCTGCAATAAAAACTTAAATATGATTAAATCACAATTCTCTATTAATCGATATCAATACTCACTGGCAAAATGAAATCGAATCATTATGATAGTTATCATTCTAAATTTATAAGATGGAAAACGAATGTGTTCGTACCTTTATCACCAATATTATTAAATATCTTATTTAAAAATTTCCATGGAATTTGTACGGTGGACCTATAAAACAAGTTGGATACCTAGAATCGACAAAAAAAAAAAAAAAGACAAAACATGGCTTTTAAAAAGGTTAAGTGGCTTTATTCTATTTCAGAAATCTAGATACATGTGAGAATTCACATATAACTTACATGAATCAACAAAAGCAGTGATGACTTCTTCATTCTGCAGCGTCCATTTCGTCGTATCTATCTATATAAATCATGAACATATCATTAAACCCGTTAACATTACAGGTATATATTGACATTTGCATCCTTCTATCATAGGAGTTTGGTTCATTGATAATAGTTTTTAAATCTTATGTTCAATATTGCTCGATGATATTAAGGCTTTCACTAGCTATTGGGGAACAAATCGCTTAGAATCTTAAAAACGGTGAATGTGTTCCTAAAAAGGCATTTTCTATACAAGAAACTGCAGTTTTAATGACGACGAAAAAAAAAAAAGAAAAACACCAATATCTCAATTTTTTCCCCTAAACAACAGTCCACAATACAACTCACAGAAAAAGAAATACGGCGGACACAAAAACTTATTTTGACATTAATATTCGACTTCTCCTGGTTGAATGGTACGAGTCTTCAACATGCTAAACGGAATAACCTGCGTTTACCCTTAGGTATAGTACAAAACTACTATTATAGTACCAAATGATCTTCCTTTACTAACATTATCATTCGTGTTACTTAAACACAAATTAAATTCGTACTTCCGTATAAGTCATCATTTGGAAATGTGTCTTGCTAAGCACTAAAACTACAAATTTTTGATTCATTTATGTTCGTGGGTACCAATTGTCATGGATTGAGTCAAACTCGCATTTTCGTGAATATTTGGTTTCGTGGTTTCGACAAATTCTACATATAAATCAATAGAAAATTTGTAATTCGTTGAACATTTGAATTCGTAGTTCATCTTTACCAAAGAAATCCACGAACATTGGTATCCCACGTATAATAATGAATCCACTGTAGTATGTAAACTATCGGTCGGATAAGAGCTACCGAAATCACAACATTGTGTAAGAAAGAAGTATATACGGAACACTGAGATAATGCACGCAACTTAATGTGTTGGTGAAATCTTTTGGACTCCTCCGTAAAAATATGATAAGTATAATCAAGTGCAAATCTGCAGCAAAACATATGCTATACATAGTTGTCTCAATGACGTCAAACCTAACCTCCATAGTTGTATATAGACGCGACTCTTATAAGCATTTACTGTAGCTGATATCCGATTCCAAATAAAAGTTTCATAAAGTTATACAGGATAATGTAAGGTTTTATATCCTTTTGTCGTTTTGAATCTTTTTTTTTTCTCACCAAACCCAAACAAAAACTACATTTTGACCCATTCGGGACTTTTGATGTCAAATGGACTGTGGCATAATGACATATTGACATACATCGTTTCTTCAGAAGAAAGGACTTATTACTTGTCAATTCATCTATTTGTGTTTGTTTATGAGTCCGCGGCAACCACTTTACATATTTAGGACGTGAAAAAATAAACAATTTAATCACAGGAATTGTCTGCGAAAATTGTACTGCCATAAGAAAATATGATATGTTTCATTGGAGCAAATTTTGCCTCGTAACGGACCACATGTAGACCCATCAAAAAATGTTGCAAGGGTTATTAAACGTGCAGATTGAATGGTACTTTTCGTACTTTTTCGTACTTAACTTAAGGTCTTGCCGCTTAAGAAGGAAATATTTACAACTTCATGCGACAGTATCTTAGATGACCATGGCACTATTATCTATTACTTTCTTCGCATTAGCAATCTTATAAATATGTTATATAAAAACAATCACACAGGCAGATAAAATATGAACGAAGGGAAACAGGTATTACCGACTTTACCGTATCGGTTTTCCTCATTGTTGAAGGCCTCCCGAATGCCTATAATTGCTTACAGCCAACTTTGGTTGATAGTTGTCTCATTGGCAATCATACCACATCTCCTTATTTTTATATTAAACAAGGAAAGTAACTATAATTTACACAATTCAAGATATTTTTCACAAACATACTAGATCCAGACTTTAACATAACATTTTGTTGTGAGCTTTGATGGCAAGGGGGATCAAATAGGGACTCGGTGGGAGTTTTTGAATTTAATTGCAATATATTTTAAGAATATGTCATGTAGGAAGATTAATTGATTCAAAACTGAATTATATGATTTAAGAAGGGAAAATGTGATTTGGATTATTGACCTATTAGAATTAATTGTGTATCTGCTATTTTTTAGCATAACTAAATTGCAGAATTGTCATATATACAAGACAAATTTACATTGATTTTAAGTCATATAAGCATGATATCTAACAAGCACACATTTTCAACTGGTTTTATAGTTTGTTCTTATGTTGTGCTGTAACACCACTGTCCAATGTTATGGGGAGGGTTGAGCGCTCACAAACATGTTTAGCCCTGCCACATTCTTTATGTGCCTGTCCCAAACCAGGAACCTGTAGTTCAGTGGTTGTCGTTGGTTCATGTCTGTCATATTTGTTTTTCGTAAATTGTTTTGTTATAAATTAGGCCGCTAGTTTTCTCAATTGAATTGTTTCATATTTTCATGTCGGGGCCTTTTTTAGCCGACTATACGGTATGGGTTTTCCTCATTGTTGAAGGTCGTACGGTTGCCTATACTTGCTTACATCCACTTCATTTGAACTTTGGTGGATATTGTCTCATTGGCAATCATACCACATCTCATTATTTTCATACAATATCGGTTAGAAATGAATAATCATGGCATCTGATGATGGCTGACATCTTTAACAAATGTTAAATTACATGGAAATTGTTTGGCAAAAATTGCTAAGTCGGCTTGTTTGCTAAAAAGCACACATGTTGGGAAAATTCTAACGAATCTATGAGTGATATTTGTACTCGTATCATTTTAATTGTTCATATAAAAAAATCTGTATGTTCATAGTATGTGTAATTTTTTACTTTTGAACGACCAGCCACAACAATACATACGGGACAAGACGGTATTGGTCGAGAAAGGTAGAGGAGTAAAATGTCTTTGTTAACGCGGAATTATGAACAAGGTTTCTTTATAAATTTTTGATATATATTTCAATGCGATCAACTTGGTATCGATTTTTTTATCAGAAAATGGAATCATTTTAGTATCAGATTATGATTTATAATCTTGCATGGCAATTTAAAATTGCTCACCTTCCATGGACTACTACTTTTCTAAACGTTTATCTTTTATAACTTATGTGACAAATTAATATAATATATGGCAAAGAATCGACCATTTAATATTCGAACGGGCGGGATGATTCTTGAAACTAGTATTTTGAAGAAGGAAAAATAACCTTGCCAAAAAAGAGACTGAAAAAATAATACTTTTTGCAACAAACTGCAGGTTGTAAATGACAAAATACGTACAAAGATACAGGCAAAAATATAAGTGGATGCAACCAAAACTTCATGGTAAATTATCTTTTTATTAACACTCAAATTGATTCTTTATAGCACATCTTGCTGTTTAACGATACAAACTTGATGTACAGCATTCCATCAAGTATCCCTATTAAGTTTACCACTAAATATCCAGGGAGTATATTCAGTAAAAATCTATAAATATCTGAATGAATAAATTAATGCTACAAACAGTCTTTACTACAATACTACAAAATTAGTTTATAATTTATATTTATAACAATATCTATAATTACAATATCTATAATTACTCAAGTTTGTCAGTATTTATACGGAAATATTTGTATTCGTTACTTCGGAATGTTTTTTTTATATATATATATATAATCTCTAATGTATCAGCAACTAAATGCGGTCAGTGAACTCGCATTTTTCGTGGCGCCTCGTGTTTGGAGATATTGTTTTCTATGTGTTAAAAATTTGGAATAATGATTCGAAAAGGTAAGTTGTAAACTATCTCAACCCAAAACTTTAAACTTAGAATGCACTTATTTGAAACTATCACATTTCTATGTTATGTGAACCGTGTACTCGGAGTCAAAACCGTAATCTGCCATTAAAAAAAAAAAAAAAAAAAATTAAATTAAAAAAAAATATAGTAATTAACTGAATTATCAGTTGGTGTGAATGTTTGCTTACTCCTTTGCTTAAAGTTGAAGTGAATTCACCTGTACTCAATATTTGACTTTAATGTATCTTTTTAAATCCATATTTGTCAATCTTTAGGACATATATTAATAACATTTCCGTCCGTCTATATGTACTATCTCGTGATTTCAATTGTTTTTCTTTCAAATAGTTTTCTTTCTTATCTGAATCATTGTATATTGTATGAAACAAATGTAAACAAATATTTCCGCATAACTTGAAATTTCCTGTTTTCAGTTTCAATTTCTTTGACTCGATGCGATGTAGAGTTTCACATTTTGCATAATCTCCTTGCTATTGTCGAAGACTGTACATTGCACTCTGGATGTCTTCTAATAGTTTGTATCGTACCTTGGGTAAATTAGGACGTTATGCTTGTTTTATCGCATTCACGTGATGACCCCCTATCCCTATGGGGTCAGTAGATATTATATGGGATTCATGACGTCACGTCTACTATAATGGCGACGTCATCTATTAATGTTATACACCAATGAATGAGTTACATCGGTTGACATGGGGTCAATCGGCGTAAACGACGTCATCGAACAATTAGTTCACACTGTGACGTAATAACAAAAGCATTGTGAAATAGGAAATTTACGGGAAAGTGCACGAATTCGAAAGTTGTCTTTTGTACTTCATTAAGTTCATTTTTAATTGTATATAGAGGGTTAGTAAAGTAGGGGATACGGCATTTGGTCTCACCCTTATGGATTTTACTTACCCTCTTTGGATCCATAGGGGTCAATAACAAACCATATAACTTATAATGTCGTTTGGTTACAGTCTCGTTGGTGTAAACCCGGTATTTTTTAAACGTTATCATTTGTTAGTTTATCATTCAAGTAATTAATATCATACTAACAATTCTGTTATATTGTATAGTGTTCCCTTGTGAATATCAGTTGTTCAGTAAATTTGAGGCAATTTTAAAATTTATTAACATGTCGAGAATTTTAACAATCTTTATAATAAAGAAATATATTTTAAATATCTACAAGATTATGCCCTACATCAAATAGCTGTTACATTGAATTGCATGTCCGTTTTCTTCATCTT